TAGTACTTTGCCATGGAATATACATTTGAATAGCAACAGCCCAAACCAGTATATATTACACAGTTTATCAAAATTGATATATTTTACTGGCCTAGCTATACCAAATCTTGCTGAGGATTAGCAAAATGTAAAAAGAGTAAAACATAGCAGTTAAACAAGTTGGAATGCCTGAAATCTTGAGACAGTACAGCATGTTTCTTCTCTGTATTGGTGAGGATAACAAAAGAAAGCAAAAAGCAGTCATTTGGAGGTAGGAAATAAATGTAATCATGATCTTGCCCATCTCAGTCTAGTGGAGTCTGTTGTACAGACAGAAGTACAATCCACCACTTGAAATACTCTAACAAAGTACTATAGGAATGGTTCTGCACGGAGAGCCCATGGGGAGGAGAAAAATAAGGCAGGAGGTGGACTCAGCTCCCAACTAGATATAGTGGGAGTACTGTTTAAATGGTACAACTCAACCCCTACTGAATAAAACGCGAATGCAAAGTAAATGAATAAAATTTTGCAGGCACAGTCACTGTTATATCATTATACAATAATAATTTGGAATAATTCCATCTATCAATAATGCCATCTGTCCCATCCAATACAAATGGACTACAACCCATCTGGCTTATTTTTTTCTATTGATTATTCCGCTGAATGAGTTAGCAAAACCGCTTATAAAATCATCATATTACATGACACTGTCATTAAAATATGTGAAGTAAAGAGAAACACAAGATGAGACTTAATTGGAAAACTGTCAGTTCTTCTTCCAGAAAGTTTTAGTAATGGTATAAACTTTTTTTTTTTTGGCTACTTAAAAAAAAAAATTAAAAAAACTCTAAATGGTAACTACTAGATTAGGCAGAAACTCTTCTACCACACAATTGTTACTATTTCTGATTAGGTATGTTAGAGAAGCTCCCTAAATGTACCTCCTCAAGACTGTCAGAATGTCCCAAAGTGTAACTGGGAATCACAAAGAAACTGTGGAAGGACTGTAACTTAAAAATATGGTGGGAGGAAGCTGCCGATGGCTGGCACTTGTATTTGTTAATTCCAATTATTTTTGCTAGGGTTTAGCTTTGATTATTTGTTTGCATAATTGTCTTTATGCTATTTTTGCAGCCTCTGTTTTTTCTTTTGATTTTAACTAGTGCTTCCCTCAACCAGATTTTAATTTCTACAACTGCAGTCTGTTTTTTCTTTTGACTTTAACCACTGCTTCCCTTAACTATATTTTAATTTCTCCAAAAGCCACTGCTTAACAACAATGCACCCTTATCCATCTACAGAACTTAAATGCTGACCTCGGCTGCCTCACTCTCGATCTCAGTTCCTACAATACCCTTTTAGTCTTAACAAATGAAATCTCTCTTGTGTACATTCAAAATGTTGATTCAAAGATCTTTTTGTTAGCCTAGTGATTTAAGGTGGTTTTTTTTTTTAGTGAGACCTCAGTGGGGCTGTTTTTTTATCCTTCCCTCCTCACTAGTTTTTTCTTTCTACTACAACCTTCCATCCCTCCACCAGATTTCTGTTTACTCTGTCACCCTGAATGTTTTTTCCAATGACACAGTGACTCAAAGGGACATAGGAAGGAAGAAGAGAGAGACAGGGGCTGGATTCCAGCTCTAAGGACACAACCCTTGACGGCTGTGGGTAACTGGAGTTCAGAGAGGCAATGCTCGGGGTTATACTGGAGGGGTGAGGCTGCAGTGAATGGTGCTGGGAGCACAGATACTGAGCTGCCATCTGGAGTGAGGGAAATCAGGATGACAGCAGTGGAAAAGAGTTGTGTAGGAAGCAAGGAATGCTGCTGGAATAAGGAAGGGGCCAGAGGCTGGGTGACTGAAACAAGTTAGAAGTTGCTAGGGGGTCCAGCCTGCTTACTGTGTTACTATTTTCTCCCTCTCTTACAATCCCCTCCCATCCCTGATGCTCACTAGAGGCACTCCCCTGGTTATCAGTGAAATAACTGGGTTATTCTGAAACATACTTAGTTTATCTTTCTCTTCATAATTCAAGAAGTTCCTAAAAGACAACTGTCACTGTCAATATGACAAGTCCTCTGAAGTCCAGGTAAGCGTGTCTGACCCTGTGGCCTTATCTCAAATGAAGCTTTGATTAACTCTGTGTCTACATCCTGCTCTTAGAAGTAAACCTTTTGTGTTATATTAACACATCCAGAGAACAATTCTCACACTTCTCTTTATATTATATATTATGCTCTGTTAGGTCCAATTTATTTGTGCCCTAAACAATTTATACAATCTCTTTTATGCTTTATAGACTACTGACATCAAATATGTAGAATGATTCAACTGAAGCTGCTGAATAGTAATATTTATGTAGAGGATATTTACCAGACATCACTACATGACAGAATGCTAATAATTTTTGGTGCTCTAACAAAAAATCTTTGGCAGTTCTCTTGCACACAATTTAGTCACTGCGTTAAATACAAATACTTCAATCTTATTATAGCATCATTTTGCTATTAAATACAGAACATTCAACAGAGATGTAGAGTCTAAAACCCATCTTTAAAACATAATTAGTTCTATGGTTTATGATGTCTAGTTTACAAGAAACGAGCTGCATTGTTTTGCTTGCAGAAACAAACTCCTTTTTCCATGGATGAGAGAAGCAGAACAATTTCAACTGAGACACCGTTTGTTCTTCCTAAGTAATCTGTAGGTTACTATTGATACAGGCCTTTGGCCACTGCTTGAAATACAGTTCAAGAATAATAAAATACTTTTGGTTTGGCTGGCTTAGTTTACTTGAAGAAAATAGGCCATTATTTCAAGTCATGGTATCTGACAGAACTGTCTGTAGTAGTATTGGGATACCAAAAAATAAACAAAACCACACAAGTAAGGGATATGCTACTTAGACTCTTAAATACAGACACCTTCAAAGTAAAGCTACGGTGTTGTGGCTTCCACACAGAAAGGCAGTATCTTACAGCATCTGACAGGCTGCTCCAAAGAAAATGTTAAGAAATGTAAAAACTACATTTTCTGTTTTCACTGATTCTATGGAACAAGCAAGGGAGAAGTACAACTGTTGTACAATTTATCAGTCATTTTACAAAGTTCTTCCAAATTTCAAACTTTACTGTTTTCCTTGTTCTGAGAGTAAAGGAACAATTCTCCTAATACCATGCCAGCTAGTGCTTCTCCTCCAATACAAAATCTCTATTTCCATTAACAGGACAATTGCATTTTCATGGCAGAACAATTCCTCCCTCTGGTTCCTTGTAACAGAAGTGTTTGATATATCTTTTTCTCTGCTTTACTGTGTACACAAACCCTTACTAATCAAAGTATGCATAGCCTGAGGAAAAATTCAATTCCTCTGTCTGAACCTCCTATTGACAAAATGATAGGGAAATTGGAACATCTGGCTGCTAATAACATCTCATTCCCACAGATATTTTAATTTTTTCCAAAGCATTTTTAGATCGTGTTGTGGCACACATTACTTCATCTGCTAATTTTTTTTTTGGCTCTTTCTGATACTGTCATTAATGAATATGATCTGAGAAGCACTGCATAAGACTGATGAACATCCTCTAGGATTGCTTGATGCCCCTCTAGGATGTTTTTTATTCAACATTCCTGAAAACTGTTAGACAGCTAACTCTTCATAGAAGTATGTGTAGGCAGCAATCCATTTTTAAGCTATGGCTTGAACAATCAAAAAGTGACATGGGCCAGCCCAAAAGCAAGCAACCTCCTGAGTATTTTTCATGTACCTAAGAAAGTACTGCCTAGTCATCACAGTAAGTGGAAGAAATAAAAGACCTGATACAGAGTGGCTGATATGTATAATAACTACAGCAGACCTAAAAGATTCTGTCTGGAAAAAGGAAAAGTTTCAAAGAACTGGCAAACACCACCAATCTGTCCTCAAATTACATATATTACAGTAAGAAAGCACGTAGGCTTTGTGGTCATGGTACGTTACCAACCAGTCACAGTACAAAAAACTGAATTGAATTAAAAAAATCTGAATTTAATTCAGATTCAGTACACTTGGTCTTGGAGAAGTAGTAAACGCTATTTAAGAGGATCCTTTATTAATAAATCAAGGTGGAATGTGTAAGCGTCTAAGTAAAGCCCGCAGCTTTAGTCAGAAGACAAGTGCCTAGTGCAGAGACTGAAAGTGAAAGCAAATAGAAGGAAAGTTTCAGATGCATTTTTCCTTCTTCTATGGCAATATTAACATTAGCTATGCTTCCAAGCCATATATTTCCCTGAAAAATCATAATAATTAAGTTATATTAAACTATACAGCAATCATGCAGTTACTACTCTTTTTTACTCATCTGTGGAGAAGTTATGTTTTATTTACAAGATTTGTGGCCATTACCTTTTTAATGCTTGCAGGGTGTTCCGTGGCTATTTAAGAAAAGTGGTACATACATAATCGAAATGATTATGGTATCGTTATAAATCACTGTGAAAATTGTTATGCTCTTAGACATAATCTAGGGTCAGCCAATAGACAGGCACGCCTCGATCTGGTCTTAAAAGGTCAGCTGAATAATAAGCAATAATGAGCAGTAAACTACTAAACTCAGTTGTCATGACAATATTGCTTGTAAGAAAGAGTGGGGAAAAAAACCTCAACAGAACAACTCACAAAAACTTGAAGTAAAACGCCCAGTTCCTCTTATGTAAAAATACATAGGTAGAGGTAATTCAAATAAGGTATTGTTCACATTTCTGTTGGAGGAATTGACTGCTCTTTAAAGTTCTTTAACATATTGCTTTGGGGAATTAAGACAAAGTTAGTGATGAATATAGCTATTAAGCAATTTTCTTTCTCAATTGTGCACAACCACTTACGAGCCAGAACATAACAGCTCAATCAAACCTTATTGTATCAGCTTTACCTGAAGGCCTCTGAAATGTACTGAGAAAATTCTGATATTACTACAAGACTTAGACGGGGAAAAAAAGACATCCCAGAGAGAAGAAAATGGATATCGCAGCTACCTTTTTACATTCTCTTAATTTCTTCTGCCATGTAGAGCGAGCAATAGGAATGTGCTTGCTGTCAGTTACATAGCAGCTGGCTGTGATGACATGGTGGAGTGCAGTCTTCTGGCTCATAGCTTGAAGAACTCGCTCAACATGACGGAGGGAAACTATGGCCTCAGTCCATACGCCACCGCTAACAAGCTGCATGGTGCAAGGTACTAGAGCAATCTGTCCAGCACAGTAGACAACATCTCCAACCTAGAAGAAAATAAAATTAAGTAGGTAAGATTCTGGGAGCACATAGAAGGCAAGGGAAGCACTTTTCTCTTTTCCAGGTAGTTTCTTTCAACAGTACTGTTCTTTGCCATTACCTGTTACAAATGCAGCAAATATGCCAGTCTAAAGATAATTTTTATAGGGATTTAAGTACAGTATAGAAACACAGTGCTCCAATAAACTTTAACCTAACAGTTAACACTTGGATGTATGTGTCAGCTCAAAACAATAATATCTGATGTTACTGACACTTACAGTTGCTGGATCACATTGATGCCCCAACATGGTTAAATACATTCTTGCTTTCTTTTTTTGAGTGATGATGCACACTATCTTCGGCTCAGTGCTCTTTTTTTAAACTTCTAAGTCTTAAGTTAAGCTTTATTTTATGTAACAATATATAAGAAAGTATAAGTTTGTAGGTAAGAGGAAGGTAAGAGGAAATTGTGGATTGACAATAAAATGCAGAAGACTGCTACTTGATCAAAGAGATGGGTTCACCTTTTGAAAATGGAATAAAATGGATGGCCAGATATACCATCAATATATGCTTTAAGTTGAGCTGCAATGCAGTTACTTTGGGCTGATTTCCCAAAGTCTTCCTGGCAACACACTGAAGACCTACTTTTTTTTTTTAACAGCAGCCAGCAAAGGAAACATTTATTCTTACTATTCAGACATCTCAAAGATTTATTATAAAATCTTAATGTAAATATCAAAACTTTTCATCCTCTTATGCTGCACTTCTCTAGAAAGTCTGTACATTTCCTGATCAGTGAAGCAGTAAATTTTATTCAATATCAAAAGAAAACTAAGTATAGAAGTGGGAAGTAAGGTGGGCGTAAGCAGCTTTGAAGTCAGCACAGGAAGCATTTTGCTACAAGTAAAGAGAGGGAAAATGGACTGTGCAAGGAATCTTTAGGAAGAATTTTGCAAAACTTACTGTATAAACTGTAAAAATTCCTCAGAATTAAGAATAATTAAAAAAGAAATCTGTGTCCTAGAAGACATGGCAATCAAACCATGTGACAGACCCATATGCAACTCCAAATCTGTCCTCATAACTGTCTGTGTCTCACAAAAGACTCACACATGTAACTATTGGAAGAGTATCTTATACAATTTGGCATACAAGTTCTATGATTAGCAGCTGAAGAGGGGGAGGAGGCAGAGAGGAAACATATCAACTGGCACTCATCAACTATTTAAATTGTTTAAAATATCTGAAATATTGTTTTGATAATGCTATATATAATCCTGAATTTGGAAAAAAAATGCAAGTAATATTTTGGTTTATAGGAACAAATGGTCTTTTTTTTTTACAGTGCTATTTTAAAATATGTGCCATTGAACAAGGGAGTCCAGCCAGCTACCAAGTGGCATACTGACAAGATGAGAAACAAATTCAGAAAGATATGATTCAGAGGGGCACAGGTTTGTTTTTAAAGCAAGCCATTCATTTTCACCTCTGCAAAGTGAAATCCATGCATTAGTCAAAAACTCCAATACAGGTATTTTATACTTCTACAGAAAAAAAGTCACACTGGCAATATTTCTTCCTTTTTTTCCTGTTGGGCTGCTGGTTTTCCATGCATCACCCATGTTAATTATTAGGTAGACAGAAGAGCTGTTCAACCAGTTCACTTCCCCTATTCTTGAACAGATTGTTTGAGACATAATATGAATACTAATTAACGATAAAATATCTGTCAGTGTTTTGAAATACGGACCAAGATAGCACTTTCTTAAAGTATCCTGGATAGTTCTGATACCATTAGCCCCACTGGTCATAAGCAAGGTCAAAAAAATCTCTGAAGGATTTGAGCAAAATTGGCACCACGTTTGGCTCAGATTCAGTGGGAATTTTGCAGAGTTCTTTAAAAAACAATTTAAAAAATCCCTCCGCTCCTAACATACTTGTTTGTATCTTAAGACGTAATTAATAGCAAAACAGTGTTCCTAACATGCCACCATGTTATGGAAGGGTGGATGCAAGGGGAAAAGAGGGTAAAAGGGTCAAAACATGGCGACAGGTTTGCAGCAACTATATTTCAGGGGACATAATTTAGAATAAGGAAAGGAGGAGGGACGTTCCTCTTCTCTTTCCCAGTGACTTGGTCATGAAAAGCAAGCATAAATAAACAATCAGCAGGGGCAAAGCAGCAAACCAGTAAAAACACTGTTTTAGCAGATTTCAAGAGGTTGTCTTTAGAATATTTGAAGCATTATACAGAAAATTGTTAGCAGAGTAAAAAGCATTTAAAACAGGGAAGACATCATAATATCTTGTTCACAGTACTGAAATCTTACAACGGGAGATGTCACAATGTATGGTGTCAGTCCTTGTGTTGTGAAAGTGTTCCGCAAAACCCTGCTAGACCCTTGCAACAGTTTATTTTTTTGGAGTATCTACAAAGATAACAGAAGATCTTTCAGACTATAGATTCACAGTGTATCAAGTCTACAGGACTTGCCTATCCAGTCAACTCAGCACAGAAACAAAACTACAATATAATGGATGTGTATTTATACACTAGATCTCTCAGCTTACACTGATGATTTAATTTTCACTGCAGTCCATACACATATTTCCAGTGCTAAAATTGCATTAAAGATTTGACAAACAAAAAATAAAAAAAACTCGTACTGCTGAGATGCTCACTTGTACCAATTTATTTCCAATATACCTCCACAGCAGTAAGCAGTTTATAAATGGGGCCTCATGAGATTCCACATTTCTTCTCTTATAATTTTCACTTGTATCACTGCAAGTTAAATGAAAGGTGAGTCTTAATAAGCTAACATAATAGTTTAGCAGCTGTTTGGCTCAGTTAGCACAACATAAATCATCAAGGGAATTCAGTGAACAATCAGAACCTCAGAGTCTGCAATCCATACTCTAACAGATAGGAATGCTAAGCTCATATTTGAGAATTACTAGCTGTGCTGCAGGAATTCAGTACAATATAGAGCTACATCACAGCTAATACAGAGGGAAGACAGTATAGTAGCAAATTATTATTTTATTTCACCTTTTTTTTTTTTTTTTTTTTTTTTTTTAAGCTGCATTCACTTTTTAGGAAAGCAGAAGGAAAGAATCTATGATACCATGGAAAGAAGAAGTCAGAAGAATGTTTGGGGCCACTTTGAACTATTCTATGCCCTGAAAAAGTTTTTAACAGTATTATAAGTTAGCACAAAATATAAATCAGGAAAAGAAACAATGAGAAAAACAGACTTAATTGGACATAAGGACTAACTGAAGCTATTAATAAGCAAAAGAAAGCTGTAATTATTGCTACTTAGAAAGAAACAGAACTAATAGGATACCTATAGATATGCCCTGAGTTGTTGTTTTTTTTTTTTAATTAAAGGCCAACAGCAACTATGGAAACTTTATGATACTTTTCCTGCTGGTATTATCAAAACTTGCTAGTGATTATCTGGCATAATACAAAAATTGCAGGGAATTTCTAATGGAGAGATTTCAGCCATTCACCCACAGGTATTTAGGCCAATGTTAACAGTTGCACCATATGAACAGATGCGTGTTTCTTGGAAAGGACAGAGTCAATATGCAATCAGCCAAATCTTTGTTACAAATGCAGTTTGGTGTCTGAATGACTGCTGCCCTTTAACAGGTCAGGGTGCACAAAAGATTCTGTGACCCCCTGACCTAACCGTGAAATAACCCAGCATTATGTTCAGTCAATGTAAATAAGCATAACTGACAACAGGCTAATAGGCTGCCTCTGGTCAGCCATGGGTACCTCTGACCTTAATGAAGACCTAAATCAATTAATACTCCAGGCAATAAAGACCTCTGGCTGATTAAGTTAGATAGAAATCATCTTTTCTAATGGGATTGAAGCTGTAAGGTGGTGAACTTTTTATTTAATATATGATAATCCTTTCTTCCTCGGGCCCTCTTATTTTAGCTAATGACGGTAAAATTGCTTTCTGCAATGTGAAATCTTTTATTTAACTACCTAGTGTGAATAAAGTTTTAAAGGTACCGTTTAGACAACAGTAACTGAAAAGCTTTGAGTTCACACTATGAACACAAATTATATCTGACTAACGTGGTTCTAATATACCACAGCCTTCCATATCATTCACGTTTTTCTTGAACTGTTACAAATTTGTAGTCTAAAAAATTCGATAAATGAGTCGATCACATATAGTTTAGTTTGATACAGGCTTTCTTTTGAGAAAATGTGTACAGTTATCAGTAGCTAAAAGATGAAGGATATATTCCTAAATGAAAAATAAATGTTATGATTATTTTTAACTAAAAAAAATTGACACTTAAAAGAATCCACGTATAACTTTGTAAAATACTTGTATATCATACTCAAAACTCCAGAACTTCCCTTTAAATAAAATAATATTTTTTTCCTAGTTAGGTCAAAAAAGTATAATTAATCAATAGCATATTATTGCTACCTTACTGAAATAGCTGTAATATTTCCACAATTTTCAGACATTTATAACTAAATTTTCAAATGCTGTGACTCCAGTTTGCTAATCCTCATTTCAGGATGGAGCTTCACCTAAGCTACAAGACTATAAAACAGTCATCTTTTTGCATTGTTCTTCACTATTAATTTTATCAAAATGTGATTTAAATTTTGCTCTTTGAACTTAAATATGTTTGTGAGTTGAACATTCACAGGACATTTTTTATCAAGAACTGACAAAAAATACTGCAATTTCATGGATGCTAAACTAGGCTGTATAATTTTTTTTATCTGCAGTTTAGCAAAATGCTAAAGTCCCACAAAGTCATATTTGACACTGAGCACAGTGTCATAACGTTATCAACACACCTAAAACGTTTGTGCATTTCCTAACTGGAAATTATACCAAAGCGAAATACCGTATCACACAGTATGCATACACTGAGCAGCACAAAAACCTGCAGTTCTTTACAAAGGCTACTAACTTGACAATACATCTGAAGAAGCCACAATATTAATTGT